TTTCTGCCTTTAAAGCACACACAACCCACAATTCCTCTATTAGCTCCGACGAAGGGCTAACGCTCGAAACGTCAGCTTTTATAACCGTAACGGTGGCCAATTTACCATTTCAACTTTGTTGATATATTCAAACTGCTCGCGCGAGCGCCTACGATCTGATGTTTACAGACGTTTACTGCTAAAAAATCATTAAACAGCAGTCAAAGACTACCTCCCGGGCTCATCTTAAAATCCTACACACGACTTCTGGCTACATCATATTATTTTCCTTTAAGTTTCAAAGTCTTCTTCCACTTCCGGTAGATTATCCTTCACTTGAGTTCTTCTTTTTTCGCCGCCGCAAGATTTCATATCGGTTGAATATTTCTTTTAGATGTGAAGTGAAGGAACCTTTACTTCTCCGAAAATCGTCTTCTTTATCTTAGTTTCTATCTCCTGCATTTACAGTGGCCGCTCAACACATCAAATACACACTCTTAGGTAAACTTCTCACAAAAGTAGAAAAAAATCCTCGCGCCGCCATCTTTGTTGTAAATTTTCGGCTTTTCACGTTTCTCTCGCGCGTGACACAAGAGTTATCTGTTCCCCGCGCGAGGAAACTAGTACGAGCCACCTTAATAGTAACTGTCGATTAATTTGTTTGGCACGGTGGTGGCCTGCTCGAACGACCGAAACAGAATAGCCACATAGCCTCTGATTTGCCGAGTCATCACGATATAACCAACGAAGTTTAAGAAACTGAGGAAAGGGAATGGAATTCTTAACATGTGATGGATGGGAAGATAGATACAACAAGTAACTATGCGAGATTGTAGGTATGTAGTTCACATTAGTGTTCAAGTTATTACATAACTTGCACTTGATGTACATCGGTAAAACAGGAAGACGACTCGATCGATTCCGAGAACACCTTCGCGACGTAGAAAGGAATGACAAGGATGCATCCAAACCAGTTGCTTAACCGAATTTAGGCAGTTCAGAAAGCTGTCAAACTCTTCAAAATCTTTGTTCAGTAAACAAAAATTTATCTTTCAACATTAGCGTAGCTCCTTTTTCTGCATATTAACACACGCACAACCCACAATTCCTCCATTGGCTTTGACGAGGGCTAATGCTTAAAACGTCAGCTTCAGAAACTCCTTTATCAATTCAGTTTACAATCAAATATTACGTTATTCTTGGGTAAATGGTTGGGCATGAGAAGAGGCTTTTAATCAAACTAGGAATTGTAAAGGAAATTACTTCTTCTAGGAAAGCAAGAACCCATTCAGGATTCCAGCAGCTGCAAAAATTTTTCTCACTTACTCGTATTCTACATCGCTCTACAGGATTCGGAAAACAATGATGTAACTTACAAAATGCTCACGATTATTTAGTGGGGATATTATTTTAGATATAATCAAGGTACATTGCAACCTCTTTGGGCTCTAAAGTTCAAACGATCCATAACAGTTCGATGCTAGAATTCAAAACGATAATGTGTATCTGTAAATCTCATAAATATACTACTCACCTTTAAAACAGAGTCAATCGAGATAAAATTCTGTTTGTTACCCTGAATCTCTGATCTCTATGACTGCGTTGGAGCATAGAAACATCCGTTAGATAGACCTTTGCTAAATCAAAACATTTTTCTTCCCGATTTGTTTTCTTCGACTGGCGATCAATTTCCGGCCATGTGACGTAAAGGTTATTGTTTTCTTCAGTTGAGACCTTGTACTCTTGATCAGCGATGTGAAACGCTTTGAATATCAAATCTGGAACAATACATTTCTCAGAAAAGTTCTGTGATGACATTCATCGTTTCTCAGAATCATTAGCATACTGTACTGAGTCATCTTTAAAATATACTAGGGTAAAATACACGAAAGCTCTGACATTACCTGGAATTATAGGAACAAAGGAGCGAGTAAGTTTAGGTGGGAATAAACATAAGTTTTCTTTGTTCTCATATTACTGGATTTAGGGAGGTAGCGAGTAAGTAATACCTGCAATCCCCAAGAGGCGATGTGAAGAGTGAAGTTGATTATTCAAATCGGCGTATAGTCATTGCATTCCAGCCTTATGGGAAACGCTTTACTGTAAGAGGCCTAAAATTTGTAAGAAGAAGAGGCTATGGCGTTCCTATATATCTGTTATACTTTATAACAAACGAGTTGCATGTCATCGATAAAGTTTGTTTATTTCTAAACATGTTAATAGCTTAATTTGTTTTGAAAATGTCCTGTATATTTCTGAAGAACCTTGTCGGTGTGTTATAAGCGGAGAGAACAGGAGGGGAACAATATATAATAGGCCAGATAGAGCCGAGAAAGAAGCTAAACGGTTTATGTTAGAGGAAAGTTAGGAGAGGCGAGAGTGCTAGAGGAAACCGAATTACTTTAGCGCTAAGATGCATTTAAACTTCAAGATGAATCCAGATAATCGATGCTTTTTCTTCTTTTAAGAATATTTAAAAATATTAAGTTTCATTTGGACTCACACAGAATTGAAAACTTAAACGATTTGTGGAAGTCTAGACATCGATAGTTTAGTTTTGCCGTTTGATTTAAAAGAAGTCCTATATTTTGTAAGAGACTCTGATAGTTTTGTTTTACTCACACGACGTGTAGTACGGTGTATGACGATTTTGCGTCTTTAATGCTCCTAGCTTTTTTCATTAGTTGAAAATATCAACAGTTAATTATAGGTATTGTGTATATCCTTTAATCATAGTGAAGTGAACTTCAAATAGTGAATTATCAGCAAAATATTTTGCAAATTAATTGAATCATCAAAATGTGACAGCTTTCGTCACTCAAGTGAAACCTGATCTTGACAGGCAACATGTTTATTGTTTACAGGAAGATCAATCCATGAAATAATGCTTCTCAAAATTCCGCCAATCAGGCTGAGGGAAACTTGAAGTCCTTCTCTTAGCTAGTGAATGGGGCTCATCTCAGGGTGGACTCTCCACCATGAACAGGGAATTGGCCATACACTTGGCAGAACAACCCAATGTGATCGTCAGCTTCCTCGTTCCGACTTACAACGGGAGTGACAAGGTGATGGCAAGTTATCATAACATTGCTGTCTTTGAAGCAGATCAGCGCCCTGGCTATGAGCCAAATGATTGTCTAAGCTTCCCACCAAGCAATCTCAATGTCGACATTGTCATTGGTCATCGTGTGAAGCTTGGCAAACAAGCTCAGATAATAAAGGGAACCCATCGCTGTAAGTGGGTCCAGGTTGTGCATACAGTCCCTGAAGAGCTTGCGATGTACAAACTTTACCCAGGAGCTATCTCTAAAGGTGAAGAAAAGCACATGACTGAAGTCCAGCTGTGTGAAATGGCTGACCTTGTTGTACCAGTTGGTCCCAAGTTATCTGAAGCCTACTCCGCGTACCTCAGCTCTTGCAGACAAAACGATTCTTACTTTATCGCCCGGAATCTTCACTGAATGGTCTAATTTGAAGCGATCCACTAGAAGTAGTACTAAATTTCGTCTGCTCGTATTTGGACGCGGTGACTCAGAAGACTTCGAGATGAAGGGATTCCACGTAGCTGCTCAAGCTGTGGCAGTACTTAACGACAGGAGCAACCACCTGATCTTCGTTGGCGCTGCGAGTGGAAGACAAGAGCGAGTAGCACAGAATCTACTGAAGCAAGGTTAGGAGCGCAGTCATCTTTTCAAACGTGATAACACATGCGAGCTAGAGTCAGTCGAGAAATTACTGGAGAAACGGTGGCATCCATGTTGAGGGTGTTCAAAAGCGCTATTTCAGATTTCCTAAAATGTCTGAAACGGCCGATCAAATTCCCACCCTAGAAATGGGTATGGCATTTTTCATGGTTCATGCACATGAATGTGTACTCTCGATTAACGAAGACGACGCTGGCATTGGTTACGCCAAGATATACAGAGTTTTACAACAGGCAACGGGTAAGGAGAGAAAACAGTTTCAGTTCTTTTTTTGTCTCCAACACACACTTTTGCTTAATAATGGCGTAGTTCTGAAGACCAATGGCCACCTAATCAAGTGTACTTCGAAACTGTTGTTTATTTTCTCCAATAAAGGCCCATTAGAATCGGAATCGAAAGCGAAAGTATCAAGGTCGACGGTTGCTCTGAAAAGTGGTAAACGGCTGCGACCAGTTGTTCAGTCATGCGTGGTCGAGGATCTGTTTAAAGCAATCTTCACCGAAGGTTTACAGGGCTTTGCTGGAGGTCTGAGACTTGTTCCTTGCCGCTTCCTATGTTAATTGTAAACCCTTTTTATTTTCTGCCGAACAACTGAAAGGAAAAATCTTAGACTGGGTAAATATCATTAATTTTGTATCTATGAAGAGTTATCGACCGTATGAAATTAAAGTGAGATGTTTCTATGAATGAAGCGGGCGGACAAATGAATTTAAGCCGCAGTGACAATAATCTGTTTCTTTTTTGTTGGAAATCAAAATTTCATTTTCAGCCACGGTTTTATGATTTTAGATTGGCATTCCTTACTAAAGCAATGTGTTCGCATTTATTTCTGATTTTTTTAATTTTTTTCCTTCCCTCAGACAGAAGCAAAACATCGGCGAATGCTTACGATACGATGGATTCGAACTTTTTCCAAGAATCTTGGGACAATTTCAATTCTATCAATTTCATTTCGTTAATCGGGGACTGGGGCACATATTACGTAATTATGTAACCCGTGACAACGGAAGCACGTGCTTATTATTAAGTGCCTGCCCACCCTTTCAAGTTGTTAATTCGAATCTATTGGGTAAGAGAGTTAGATTGACCGTAATTGTGCGAAGACCTTGTGAATCTTGCGATTATTAAACACGTTAACATCAACTTAGTGACTTGTCTTGGATACAGTCTCCAGCGGCCGGAGGAGTCCAGCGAACCTCGATGAGTATGTGTATTAATATCGTTCGCTAAAGGGGTCTAGACAAGTTAAAATTTACCACTTAATATTTGGTTCTTGTGACTCCTGCCTCATAAGGGAGGCGAAGCCATATATGTTCGAGATATAGAGGATATTACATGGCCGCGCGGGGATACGAATTTTATCTTCCAGTGCTGAAAGTATCTCTCACGAGTGAGCGCAGCAAACGAGTGAGAGATACTTTCAGCACGAGAAGAAAAAATTCGTATCCCCAGGCGGCCATGTAATGTTCTGTTTATTACATAGATACTGATGAAAT